TCCCTCCGTTTATGTTGATGATTCACGAAGAATTTATAAACTGAATTGAATATAAAAAAACATGGCATAATTGAACATTGATGGTATTTACAAAAAACTTATAAAGAAGAAAAGCTGAAATGAAAACATTCATCTGTATGACAATAGTTGATGCCAATTTCATAATCTGCATATCTTATAGATTGACTAACCCACGCTCATACAACAAATTCATGATAAAAATCTGCACAACAAACATGAACAAGCGTTATCTAATGCTCATAGTACATATAAATTGATTATGTATTTATATTTATGATCTTTGTTTGAGCTTGTGATCAAACTAAACACGATGCTATTGTTCAGTTGCTTTGAAATCGTCAAGAGCATGATCGTCGTCGTCTAGTAGAAGATTTAAATGTATTTCGAGCGAAATATCAACAAGCAACTGATGCTTGAGAATACGATTTAAATCTAAATGACATAACTCAATCAATAAATATTAGCTGTTTATATTTTGATGGCGAAGACCGGAATAAACAAGATCGAGAAAGAAAACAAAAGAATCCGATGACTCGATGGATTGCTGAGCAGGTGGTGTACAAACAATTATAATAAAATCAGCCGATATCTCGTTTGTTTAGTGTCGTCGGAAATGTCTTGAAATCGAAGAACAACGCATGACTGATAGAGCATATGATTACAATCAGCTGGCGATCGTCAATCATATGAAAACCCTCGAAGCCATACAAATAATGCGACGACGCCAGTTAAACAATAACGTCAAAGCATTCAATCAAGTATTAGTAATAAATCAATAGGCAGTGTATTACTAAATGAATTCATATTCGATTTATCAATAAGCTGAGCAAAAAACAATGTCAACGACGTGTAAAAGAAACAAGAGATTAAAAACATGTTAATAGATGAAATCTTGACCGAAAATAAGTACTTATCGAAATCTCAATTTCGTACTCAACGTTGGCTGTTAACTCATTTGAAAGACATGTCGTCATCGAGTTCTACTCGTTGAATTCAAAAGGGCGAGTTTAAATCATTTTCTGTGTACTTTATGCTGCTCGTTCTGTACTCCTCTATCCGTCACCGACATCTGCACACGAAAAACACCAAACATTTGGATTTCAAGCACCTGGCTCGTAGCTTTTTTTTTCTCTCTCATCGTAATAGAATAGAAACAATAAATAAATGACGTTACGCATGCATAGACGTTATCCTCATCGTATAAATAATAGCTGAATTTTACTCACAGACCATTTCTTCTTTTGTTTTTTTGTACTTTTCTGACAAAACGAAAATCGACGTAAGATTTCAATGGCTCAAGGACGTCTTCGCGTGACCATAGTCGAAGCAGCCAAACTTGTTGATAAAGATAAAACAGATTTTAATGATCCCTATGTGGAAGTTTACATCGATGAAAAGACTAAACATCGAACTAAAGTATTAAAAGATGTCGAACGACCCGTGTGGAATGAAACATTTGAATTGTAAGTAATGAAAGCTTTTTTTATTCAAATTTCATATTTTAATTTAGTAATACATGGCCAAGTAATGAATATGTTCATATAGATGTATATGATGAAGATGAAGGCAAAAAACCTGATTTAATCGGTTCAACGAAAATCGATCTCGATGATGTTATTAAAAAAGGACGCTTTGACGATTGGGTTAAACTACCAGGTTTTCTCGGATTTGGCAGTCGTGGCGATGTACATATTCGTATGACATTCGAAAAAACATCCACAGAGTAATGTTATTTATATATACATGTACTAATTTACTCTGTATTTCTTTTTAATTTGTAAAAAAAAAGGAAACAATAAAGAGTTTCTCTCATGCATCACCACAAGGTACATTATCGACGGATGAGTTACATGTACCACTATCAGACGAGGAAGACAAGGAATCTGTATCGACATAACTGTCATTGTCTGCTGTTGATGTGACGCGCGAATTGCTCATACGATTCCGTAGTACAACAGCGGAATGAAGTGCATATTTTCGATTAAGATGAGTACAGCTTGATCGACGAATATCACTGTTACTCGAATAGCAGCAATGTGTGATTAAACGTGAAGGTCGTTCAGAACGCAGATAATGATAGCGTTGACCTTTTTGAGGATATACTGGATTGGACTTGATCTGTTGAATATTCTGAATTTTACCGTAAATCGAAAGAAACATTTTCTTCAAATCATGATCAGCACGACGGATTTCTGACTAGAAAAGACGAGAACAACAAACACATGAGGTATTTACTGTTCTATTCAAGGTTGTTTAGACGTACTAGTTCTTCTTGTATTACATCGAGAATATTTCTCGATGATGAAGATGAAGATCCCTGATCGTCTTTAATATGATTTAATGATTGGTCACAGAGTTGACTTGTCGATTTTGATAGATATCGTTTAGATGAATCTAATGATATTGTTTTATTCTTGACAATCGAATACGATGGTGACAATGATGATGATGATGATGATGATGAATTGTCTTGTACAGGTGTAATAGATTTAGATGGATCATTGTTGGTTAAATTCATTGGATTTTTTGTTTGTTGAGAGTTAATTGGATTGACTAGAGTTGGAGATGAGAGGTTCGGAATTGATGGAGTTGTCTGTTTGCTCGATGGTGATGATGGTAACGGTGGATTCGGACGAATGCATGCAGATTCATATGTATTTAAACGTTCCTGTATGGTGGGTGCAGTTGTCCGTCGACGTCTCGTATGTGAACTAGTCGACTCTGATGATGAACAATCTGAGGATGAGAAAAAGCCTGAAGTATGACTGGATGTCACATCGAACAATATTGGTATAATTGTTGTTGGACTTTGGGATAATGTTCGTAGAGCAGATGATGATGGTTGTGTTTTGTCGATGATTTCAATTTCAGATGGATGACGACTGTAAAATTTGGCATAGAATGAACGATCACGTAGGAAAGAAGGAAGGTGCATTCTAGAAAAAAAAGACCTAGAAAATGTTGTTCATTACATGCAACTCGCCATTGAACTCGGAGCTAATTATAAGCATTCTTTTTCTAAGAATAACATCTATGCCTATTGTACGTGTGTTCTAGTTGATGTAATATGTATTTGGCCGATTCTTTCTTCTGTTAACAGTGAATCGGCATAATTTACTATGTGGGCTGAAGGGTAGGTTTAATACAGGAGAAGTGAAGAGAGAAGTTCAATCTACTGATGTATATACGTTCTTTCAATAACGTATAGCAATATATTGAATAAAAAAGGAACACCTATAACTCACTTATTCTACAACAACGACAAGTGATTTGACAATAAGTATTGAAATGGTAAAGTGTTGAATACTAGTGTCTGCTGAACGCGAATCACTCAAAGAATAGTAATCAAATATTGCTTTGTATGCGCTGTTATCCAAACATATTCATAAGATGCGTTTGTGTACAATATACAGGTACATCGATCATACGCATCTAGTACGATTTTATAATTATAGATTATTCGTAACGATGGTAGTACTGCGTACTTACACGTCTAGTTAATAGGTCTGTGCTCTACATATAGATGTGTGCGTACATATGTGAGTGTGTGCATCAAAGAACAGACGTGAAACCATTATTACTGGATCCTTTTACACAAGAAATTCAATAGAAGAAAAGGAGAGAAATACAGAGAAAGAGAGAGAGAGAGAGCTCGCGTGGCTTCAACTACCACAAAGAATGAGAGACGACAACGCTCATGCAGTCTTTTTTTATTATTGTATATTCAGTGATGTCTATTCTTACCTACTATACCTGTTTCTAGTAGGGAAAGAGAAGGAAGAGAAGAACGATATTCTCCCCCTCTCTCTCTCTCTCTTTTTGTCTGATTCTCTTCCTTTTTATAGTAGTCTGATCCATTGAACGATAAAAAAGACGGTGATGACGATAGCAAAAGCTAGACAGAGACATGCAAAGTGTCGACTGTCACTATCGGTCAACAGACGGACAAGCTGAATAGTTATATCATTTATGGATTAAAATGTCGACAATAACGACCAACTGTAAAAGAGACATTCCTTCATGTTAAAATCATGTTGCACACACAGACAGACACATTTGACTGCCGGTTGATCCTATTCAACTACTGCATACTTGAAAAAACCCGACAAGGCCATTATTGTTAAATAATGACAAGTAATACAAGAGATCGAGATTATAAAAATGAATTTTCTCCAATTTTTTTTTCTTTATTTACTTGACAAATATTTTCTTTTATGTTATACTGATTTCTCTTCATTCCCGTTCGTTACTCTTCTATAGATTGAAAAAAATCACTTTTTTCCTTACACTTCAAAAAACATATACATATACACCGAAAAAAAAAGTCATCATATAATCAATCAAACCGGTGCTTGCTATCCTCATACAAAACTTTACTTGACATTAATGTTCATTCTTGCTGATTCATTGTCCTTGTAAGTTTTATAGCTAAGTCAACAGCTAACATCATATCATGACACAATTTTTTGTCATATTCACATCCGTATGCCAGTTCATGATTGAGCGTCGATGCATTTTGAAAACTTATTATATTGGATCATTTCAAAAAGAAGAGACATGAATAAAAAAAACACTTCACATAATTAATGACATTATTCAACAGTTTGGATTACGTCAAACTTTGCTTTTTTAATCAGAAGATCTTGTTCTTTTTTTTCCCCAAGAAAAAAAACCCGATGCACATCTACGTCAGTATGGTATATAAATCGCTCAATGATAACAAACAGTTGACTTCATGACGCAATACATCACAATCCTGTTACATTAAAGAGTTTTGTCATTGATGAGCTATTGAACCCGTTGAACGAGAACAAAAAAGACTTTGCTCAACAGTTTTTTCATTATCGTGAATATTGCTTCCATAGGGTCGATGAATGAACTTTAATCAGTGGGATAATGTGTAAGTCGTATTTAATATGCTTGTCTTGCATTTCAAAGTCAAAATATTCGTGATGAGGGCTGACAAAATACTTCGGAGATTAGATTGAATAACAACAAGTCAGTTTCATCTTGATCAAGGTTAACAGATAACAATTGTGATTGAACGGCATCTCGAGTGAATTCTCAACTATCGATATACACAGTCTAAAAGAGAAAATGAGTTTGTATGAGGAAAAAATATTGAACTTACATCGACAAATAAAGATTTATTTGATTAGAAAAACAATGAAATCTAAAAGATGAAAACAGAAGATGCGATGATGGTTTTTATTCACTTTTTAATCGTGTTGATAACTGAACAGTTTGTTCATTGGAGAATTGTTTACTAAGTTTTTGATCTAGACAATCAAATTTCTTGTAAATCTCCTCGGTTCTATCTTCAGTTCTTTTCAAATCTTTCTTATATTCTTTACACAGTTGTCTCATTTCATCACGAATAACAATAAAGTCAGTTAGCTGTTTTTCTAATTCAACAATACGTTCTTGTTGTAACTGATTTTCTTCGCGTAAACGTTCATTTTCTTGTTTAATGTCATTTAGAACAGATATATCAACATTTAAGCCAGTCTGTTGACGAAATGTTAGTTCTTCGAGATCACGAACAAGTAAATATTCACTATTCGAACGTGCAGTTAAAAGCAAAACTGGTTCTTGATGACCGTTGAGTTTCGTTAATTGATTTAAAGTTATTTCACGAATATCACAATGTGGAATAAGACAGATATCAATGTCATCAATGTTGGTTTTCGATAATAGCATTCGATGTAATGAGAAAAATTCACGAATGAGATCATCAATTGGTAGTGTCTAATAGAAATATTCATAGAAGGAAATAGTAGTGACAAACTCGATAGAACATACTTTCGAACCATCGATAAGTATACGCGCAGTTAGGGGTTGTTCAGTGTAGACAAGACGAATAGGTTTGTAACCTTTTTGAAGACAAGCTGTTTCATTGCGATCAAGTGGTCGAAGGCAAGTCGATCTTTCGGAGAAGAACAGTCGGAAGATTGATTAGAGAAAACAAGGAAGTATTTACATACGAGTTTGATGCCATGATCCACGATATCAAATAATTGAATTCATGTACAGAGTGACGTGACAATTGAATAGTAGTAACTGATTCATTCATTGACACTTTGTATAAGAGAATCAACGAATGGAAATTTGTCTATCGCCTCTCTATAGGCGAGCATTAGAATATATTTTATGTATGAGATTTGCGTCGATTTTGATATATTTAAACAAAATCTATTATTAAAAAATAAGAAAATAGCGTCGCTAGTAGATGGCGTTAATTCCTGTTCAATTTCACGGACGTTTCATTGAAGTAAAATACACTTCTATAAATTAACGACAATGAAACCACAGCACATAATCTGTTCGCTATGCTAAAGTGAATTTTATGCTTTTTTTTAAAAGTAACATGGCCGTCGTCACCTTATTTTATCTGACGATCGATTCTCATGGATGATTTCCGTAGTATTTCCATTTCAATGAAATGTACAATACTCTGTTTGATAAAACTACTCTTGTATGGTAGATCTTGATGTACTCTCCTGTTTCTTCTCTCAGAGTCGAGAAAGTCCAATGTTTATAATAAGTGCTGGAACGTTGAAATCAAATTAGCTTAGAGTAACAGGATTTGCCTCCAGATATCTTTCAGCCGTGATATTACAACGAAAATATTAATTCTTTCATGAAATAGTCTCATAGTAACTGTAAGATTAAAAGAAAGGATTCCATATAGTCCGATGGATCTATTTCGAACACTTTTAAGAATTGAAGAAATTTCAAGTGATTTCCTGTTGATTTTCAATAATTTTTTCTATATATTTCAGATCCTAAAGTCACTTGGAATAATAGGTGTTATATTTGATCTTTTCACATAATGTTACTTGGATAGCTTATGACTCATCCGACTTTTACTGATCTGTTTTTGAAGCAAGAACCTTTCACAGAAGTCTTATCGACTACTTACCAGTTCAGTGACCTCTCTCAAACAATATGGAGATTATTGAGGGAAGAGCATGCCACCTGCGAAGATTTTCTCATTATATATTCATTCATATTCGAAAGCAAATTAATCGACTTGTTGACATTGATTCTCTACACTGATAGGTAAATCATACAGAATAAAATAGTTTAAGTGTGCGATATACATACCGAAATCTAGAAAAGCCCTGTGCAAATGAGAGGACAAAGTATCGATTAATATTTTGCATAACAAACTACTCACAAATCCATCCAATGTTTACAGAACTCGTGTTAAACTCAACAATTGTAGGAGATCTGATGTAATGAATATGACACGATTTAAATGCATCTTTCTTATATCTATTCCGACTACTGATATCCTTTAAAATTGTTTTTCGAATTCGGGATGACTATTCATCAGAGTAATCGCCATACATTCCTTTTAGAAGCTTTACATGGTAGTTTTCTGACAATCTCCGATGAATTTGATGGACTTCTAACTTTCATAAACTTTGAATGTTACACTGAAGAATGTATAGTTTTCAAGATATTTAATTGAGGTTGGGAAAATGGTTATAAAAAACTATCTCAAACCTATGAAAGCGGCTTCTTTCACCTCGAGCTGCGCATAAAGGGAAATATAAATTGAGATGCTTCTATGAAACGGGAACATGTTGATTTTGAAATCATTAAAACTAGGCAACATGTTCGTAGTGAAATCCGTGTCATATAACACTTTCTAAGGGACATAAATAGCATTTGGAAAAGAAGAAAACGGGAATAAAAATAGTTTATGAACAATATTTGATCTATTTTCGTTCATCTCTCTATCACAAATCAGCACTTTCAAAATATGTAGGCACAATCACGCTCATATATTTAACAAAGCAGATAAAAAGATAAAACGAACAACATAAGTACAAACGAGTATTGTGATGTGAGTGGTACTGATTATTGATACTTATTCAATTTATTTCTGTGTTCGGTACAACTTGATTATTGTTCAGATTATTTGCCGCTTGTTGAAATCGTTTGAAATGTATATCAATCAAGACATAACCAACTTGTTTACGAAATCGTCTCGAAACCGCGTAGAAAACATAGAACGGTGTCTAAAATCATCATTGAAAGATACTTTCGTCGTCAACAATTAACTTACCGCATAGCTTTCATAATAAAATAAAATTGTTACCGACTGAATCATATTATTTCGCGCGTGTAATACCGGATCTTGTTGAAGTGAATCTACAGTTAATGCATAAATATTCACAATTAAATACGGTACTGTCAACAGAACAATGAAAATCGCTTGAACTAATACCATCGCTGATAATTGCCGATTCCGACTTGAAATTTCAATATGTCGATTGCGATTGGCGTTAGTGCGACTAGTAAAAAATGCTAGTGAAGCAAAGGTAATCATGATAATAAGTGGCAGAAAACCGAGCAGGAGAGGGAAATAGAAAAACGAAACGTATTTAGCAAAGCTCGAGTCAACTATTTGGCATACGTCATTTACCGAACCAAAATAAAGCAAAAAGGGAATTCCGTGAATGAGAAAAATAATACAACTGATGAAAACATGTCGATGAGCTAATTGTAGACTACTCAATCGTTCATGTTTCATTGACACAAACTGATCCACTATTGCTAACGACATACAAGTTAAAGAAATCAAAGCGGAGTATTGCACGGTAAACATTCGAAGCTTACAAAACCAGGATACTCGTGTTGGATCAACGTAAAAACCGTAGGAAAGTATTCGAATTAATAATGAAGTTAACAATTGAGTAACATTCACAACTGAAGCCGTCGTCAGATAAAACACACACGGAGTTGATCGAAATGTTTTCAATGTCATAAAAACCAGAATGTTTAGAAGACCACCGAAGAAGCCAGTGATTAACGTAAAAAAACCGAAGTAGATTGTCATAGATTGACTGATCAACTGATAGGAAAAGATACTTGATGAATTTGACATTGAAATTAATGTGCACTTGGTCACAGTGAAGCTGTCTTAATTTGAAATGATGAAAAAGTGTAGATTGTCTTATTTTGTTTGGTTCTTCAGTTATTCTTTAAATATCGACTGATCTAATTAAATAACGATACATAAAAGAATTAATATAATAATTTTCTGATAGAGTGGAGTTCTGTCATTATGAGCAGTTTTGATCATCAGAGCTATGGAAGCGTCTTGCCGTCTGCGCTGTTTTTTCATTAGTAATAAAAAAATCATTTTAGCTATATGTTCTATCTACTCGCTCGACTATTTCGAACAATTCATATTTAGATAAAAGATGGGAATCCAGTTTTGAATTACCTGCGATGAAGTCGCTCGCATGATGGATGTGAAAATGTTAGATAGAAAAAGTAGAGAATCTGTTGATAGGTTACAAAGAGACAATTCCACTTATTCGACTTCGTTAATATTTATGCATCAGTGAATTCTGCTGAATAAGAAATTCACCCTCTTACTATGGTTGATCGACTATCTCAGAAGCAACACGTATGCGACGCAATTTAATTTTCATGTTGGAAGTTTGTGATGGTATATTGAATTTCAAGAGACTGTTTTTATAAAATAAGATTGCCGTTTAATATAAAAGATATTCTGAGAATTAATTGTACTTATATCTTGGATTACTGAATACGCCGAAAGGACAAAATATATTCACATAGGGGCCTGGTGACAGTTGAAGGAAAATTCATTATACAGTCTATTTTTATACACAGTAGTGAAATTAATGCTCCGCTGGCCATTCTTTGATATTTGTTCGTTCAATATTTCTCAGACGGGGAGTATTGGGTTGAATATCGCATTGTTGAAAAAACCAAGCTACTAATGTACTTTGATTGCTCAGTTCAACCAGTTCATTTTCAAGTTCAACTCGATTAGTAAAGTCAATCGAGACATTCTAGAATATGAACGATGAACAAAAGATGATATTTATCTTTTATGACAAGAGACATACTCTTTTCGGTGTTCGTACGACTGCTGATCGAACAGTCTCCTCTCCACTTTCTCCACCTAGCGTATCCAATTCTTCTTCAAGTCGACGAATCTTCTTAAAAACTAAATTAATAATGAAGTTTAAAGTGTCAAATTTTGAAAAGATACGAACTTTCAGCTGGAGAAGAATTTTGTCGGGCTGCGTTATCGCTTGTTAACATTGTTGCATCTGCACGAATTTTCCAGCGCTTATACGTCTCTGGAGTTGCTTGTGATCCTAAACACCTTCAATTTCTTATCGTTCTTCGTCAAAACGAATTATACCTGACGCCCATTCAGAAATGGTACTAGCGATGAATTCCTTGAATTGATCCGTGAAATTCATTCGTGAATCGGGACAAACGTCGAAATACATTTGGTAGACAGATTGAGATAAATACGAACCATAGATCTTGAATAAGCAAAGGTAGTTATGAAGAACTTAATGAAAGTGGAAAGAAAAACGAACATTGAAAAATTTATCTCGAAACCACGAATCAACCGACAATAGTAGCTGCACGTAATTTTTTGCGATACGTGTGAAATATTTCTCGCATTCTTCATCAGTATTTGTTGGTTTCTATAAATAAACTCTGTACTCAGTGATTATCTCCCGAATAATCCTATCTTACTGCAAAATATCGCAAATAAATCCACCAAAACGCATCAAGAAGTATATGTTGACTCGTTTCACTTCGAACAATTCGATTCCAACAAAAGAGGAAATTCTCCTACATAAACAACAGAACATTCATGTACTTTGCGTGAAGAAAGTTCGAACTTTGAATTTTTGTGCTAGCGAGACTTTATTCAAAATCTCCACCACATCAACAACCACACTGAACACTCGATCGTTGTATAAATCGAGTTGAAATGGCTTGTAACGGATATTTTCAACTGTTTCACGGTCATTTTCATTATCACGAACTGAGAAACTTGTAAGAATCTGTCGTCGTCGTTTAAGAACTACGCCTAATTCACTACCGGGATCGACATTCTCTAGTTCTACAACAAAAAACACATTCAATTGACAGGTATTCAATCAGTTTTTGTCCATACCTTCGGCGGTGAAGTCAAACGAACGAGCGACTGGTTTCATCGGAATAAATAAATCGGTTTCTTGTTGAAAAAACACATTGACATATTCATTGACAATTGCTTCA